AAGCTGGGTAGGTAAGAAGAAGATAGGTAAGAAGAAGACATTTTTGAACCCAGAGTTCCAGGAGAGAAGGCTTATACAGAAACAGACCTTGTCTACCTTGGCGTAGCTTGTAGCTAACAACCAGGCAATGCATTATGTTACCAAAGAATGGTATGGGTAATACGACTTACTGTTAAGGAGTGACAAGGAGATGGTTAACAGTATCAAATGATAAATGTCAAGTCGGATAAAGCCTGAAATGTGAAGATCAGTGGATCTTAAAATGAAAAGGTAGAGTGGGAGATTCTCTAGCTTTCGTTTAGCCCCTGGGTTAAGCTGTTATTTTGTACAACTAGTACCTCTCCTCTGGTTGATCACACCCTTCTACAAATATGTCTGATGTTGATTAAGACAGCCTACTCCTCTCTCTGGACTTGATCTTCACATCAACTATCCAACGTTTATGATGTTGTAACTGATCCTATCAGTTACAGCTTTCTGTACGAGTGGACTCCTGACTGACACATCAGAATCTCTTCTTGTCTCTTGAAAATATAGCTGGACTATGTTGAGCATTGGAGCTAGAAAGCCCTGTAAAGTTAGAGTGAATCTTAAACCACCTATGATTTAATATTATGGGGGCATCTGGGTTACATAAACATTTGAGTTTGTCTTAAATCAGTACTAGTTAATGGTGTAAAATATGGCTTTGGAGTGCTTTCCCTTAAAGTCAGGTTCTGAAATTGTATCACATTCTCCTCCATACAATAGCTTCATTCCAGCAAACTATGTCTCCAGGTCCTGATGCACCTTTTCTTTCATCCTCCCTTACCCACAGCCACATTTCCCTCAAACACTATGTCAGGCATGGAATGCCATATTGCTGAACTGATGCAAGCCATTACTCTTGGACACCAAATAAAGGACTAGGCAAGACTTAAGCCAATGCTGGGACCCTCAGCAGGCAGGAAAACAGCATAGAAAATCCAGTTTGTCCATGATGTCAAAAGGGTACTTATTTCGCTGCATTCACATCAGAGCCACCAAGCTCACTCACTCACTCTACACATGATGTGTACCTATATACCAGCACACAGAGAGGTGAGCTTGAGGAGAGGATGTCTCAATTTCTAACTTTCAGAGGCACCTGTTTGAGAATGGGGGAGAGATGGGTAATAGTGGAAGAGATTTCTCTTTCCCCTGAGGACATCTTTATTTATAGAGTTACCTAGCAAATCCTAATCTAAAAGTAGATAGAGAAATCTAGGCAGCTTCCTATATTCCGTACCAGTAATTCACTGACTATGAGCATTTGATATCATTGGTTTCTTCAAAATCAAGAGAAAGAAAGGACATAAAGAGAGGAGAGACAGAGGAGAGAGAGAGAAAGGAGAGAGAGAGAAAGGGCACACGAATGCAGAACAGGAGAACAGAGGCCAACAGAAGGATGCAAAGCCGAGAATCAAGAGGACAAGGAAAAATGTTCAAAACTCCATAAAGCAAATTTAACCAGAGATTTTAAAAAACCTTTTCCTGCTTTATAATGGATTATATAAAAAGTTAGAGGATGGTGCTACCTTTTAATGGATGGTATCTGTCTACGTAAGCATTATCTATAATCTGCAAGGCACTAACAATCTTATTCTAAGTTTTGTATGTTCATATTTTTATGACCCAATTTTCTCACCTTACAATTTTTTTAAGAGATTTTTTTCCTATAGGGTATGTGAGCTCACCAGGGAGACAGAAAGAGAAAGACAGAAAGTGAGAAGTCACCCCCTGGCCCTCCAGGCCATGCTGCAATCCTGTCCCCATTCTCCTGCTGGGATCTTGGGCACACATTCACATGTGCCCGACATGAGTTGTAAGTCTCTGGGTGTGGGATTCAAACCACAGTTGCCCATGTGGGAGTTCAGTGGCATTACCAATACACCATCTACTGGTCCTACTCTCATATTAAAATTAAGAAGCCCAGAGCAGGTGGCACGATGGTTACATCACTGGACTCCCACATGGTCGACCCACAGTTTAAATCCCAAGTCCTGCAGCTTAAAAAACACATCAAGTACATGTGTGTAATGCTATGGTTTGAATAATAGTGTGGTCCCAATGGTTCACCTTTTAGAATTTGGTCCTCAATGTGATAGTCTTGGCAGGGTAGTTAGACTAGTTAGACATTTAAGAAGTGAGGCCTAGAAGCAGTGTTTGGCTCTGAGGGGCACTGCCCTCATAATGGATTAATACTGTTAGCTTATTCTCTCTTAAGAGAGAATAAGTTCTCATTCTTGTGAAAAGGAGTAGGTCCTGTGAAACTGGGCCGTTGTAAGAGATGGCTGCCCATGGGTTACTCAACCCCACTCTCTCAGCACACACACTTGTTCCTTCCTGCTACTATCAGGTGTTTGCAACACAGGTCTAGAGGCCAGTCAGGTGCTGGCTCCAGGTGCTTAGACTTTGTGGGAAAGTCACAGAGGGAATAAATTATGGAGCCAGGATCAAACCAGACCAAGACTCTAGAACTTAGTTTTACTGGCATTGCAGGCTAACTCCCAACACCAAAAGACAGATACATTGATTGAAATAATGACCAAGTAACAGACACATAGAAATACACTACTCTTCAATCTGGCTAGACCAGGATTCCCAACTGTTCCTGTTACTTTTTTAACATCAAAGTTAAAGTTTTAAAATCCTTTTTTAAAAAGAATTATTTATTTAATTTCATTTATTCGCTCATTTATTTTAATTTGACCAGAGAGAGACACAGAGAGAAAGAAAGAAATTGAGAAAGCAAGCCATCAGGTCCAGGACTCGAACCATGGTGAGCCATGTGGGCATGTCCAGAACCTTAACCACCATACCACCTGCTGGCTCCTTAAATTATGTCCTACTTGTGTATCACTTTAAAGTTTGGTTCTCATTCATTTTTATAGACAGATTTACTCCAGACCATAAAAACAATAAAGATATAGAATGAACCCATGTCTTTCAAAAAAAGTGACTTCTCACTAAACACCTCAGATTAAAACAGTGAGTGTTTATTGTGTCCAGGCACTATAGTAATCATCAATATTACCTCACTGAATCTTTACAACAACCCTCTAATTTACATTTTAAAGATGAACAGACCAAAGCTCAGACTGTTTAAGTAGATTCCTCCAGCTCAGGAACCTAGCAAAAAGCAGAGCTAGGATTTGGCCCATCTTCCATTTAGAACACAACAGCCATGTCACTTTGTACGTATGGACCGCAACTCATCAAAACAGGACCACGGGGACCAGCGGTTGGTGTAACGGATATGTTGATGGACTCCCATGTAGTCAACCACTGCTTGAGTCCCAGACCCAGTGGCTTAAACTCATGCCGAAAACTCATACACACATACACTCATGTGTGTATGCCCAAGATCCCGAGAGGAGAATGGAGGAGAAGGGATTGCGGTGTGGCCATCCCCCCGGGGGGTGATTTCTCGCTTTCTGTCTCTCTGTCTCTCTTTGTCTTTCTGGCGAGTGAACGCACCCTATAGCAAAAACTTCTCAAAAAAAAAAAGAAAAGAAAAAGAAAGAAAGAGGAAAAGAGGACCACGGATTTATAAAAATACATTAGGCGACCAACCACAAATAACATGTTAATTATCCTCAAAGAGTTTAAAAAGATAGGATATATAAAGATGAAAGAACAAAAATTTAAGTAATAAGCTGTATGATGTAGACAATTAAAGACTACCAATAACTGATAATATTTCTACAGTCATTTACAACTTCATAGCCTGTTCCTGACATTCAGACAGATGTGAGTGATAACTTTGTCTTGCCTACTTAATCTTGAGCAAGCTGCGTGAGCTCGCTGACCCCATCAGAAGATGAGATGCTGTTCTAAAGAAACAACAAACTCATGCAGGAAGATGTCCAGGACAGCACCCAGGCCGGGAGGCACAGTACAAGTGTTCAGCCATTGCAAGGATCTATCTCCTAGCAGCTGCCTGTTTCTAGCACAGAGAATGGCACATGAGACCCTTTAAAAATGTCAACTGGAAAAGCAAAGTGAGGAATAAACCATCATCTCAGTCTTCCAAAAGGATTCACCTTTTGTACAATTGTTCATTTTCTGAACTCAGCTCTGAAATGAGCTATTCTCTGTTTCACTCTTCTTCATATTATCCAAAATAATTCAATGTCCACCTTTTCCTTTGGGAAAATCAAAGGTTAACATGGCTACCTTTTGAACTCAAGCTGTTAAAGATCCTTTTTTGTGTTCAAAAAGTTTTACTGATTTTTGAAAGGTCTTATTGATAAAACACAGAGAAACTCAGGGGAAAAGGACAAAGAGAAAGTAGAAGAAAGAGAAAGAATAAAGAGGGCAGAAAAGAAAGAGAAGGAAGAGAGCCCAAGAGGATCAGATAGAGGCAAAAGGCGATGGAATGCAAAACTGCCAACGGCCTTAGAAACTGACTCATGTAACAATCATGGGGCATTATTTTTAAAAGCCAAAGGGAAAATATTTACATCAAATCCAAAGGATGCAGCTCTTAGTTAAATACTGGAAAATGACAATGTATTCAATTCATTAACTCATGGATTAGTCTGTGTGATGTTTACTTTTGATGCCGTTAGCATTTCTCAAGTAAATATGTAAGAGAATAAGAAAGTTAAGAACTAAAGAAAGAAATGAATATTTTCTCTGTGTTTTGTTACTCTGTTTACTTGTTTGGGCTGTATTCGTGCAGTTTTCATGAAACATTTAGGGTCTGGAATTAATGAAATGGGTGACTGACCAAGTCCTTGATGACTTCTGCCTCCATGGTGTATATAAAAGTCATGTGAGTTTTAAGCAATTTGAAACAAAGTCATACAGAAAAATGACATGAATTTTAAACAGTTTTCTAATTGTGCTTATGAAGGATAGTTCCAAAGCAGATATGTTATAATAAAAACATATTAAGAGTAAATTAGGCCTTAATTATGTTTAGCAAGTGCTATGTCCTCATTAAAAACAGAACCACAACAATAAACATGACTTACCACCAGAATTAACTCTGCCACAATTGTCTACTCTTCCCAAACATTCCTTGTGTGCTCTTGCTCCACACTTAAAACATAAATAGCCTTGATAAAATGTTCCTCTGAAAGGTAAAATTAGAGGGTGATATATTACAAGGTGCTAAATTCTGCCTATGTGAAATCATCAGTACAAGAGGGAAAAAAGGCATCCCAGCACTACACAAGGCCCTTCTCAGCACAGGGGGAGAGGACCTTCCTGGAGGTTCTAAAGGGGAATGTCCAGGTACAACCCCTGGCGAAGATCTGTTGGGCCCAAACTGTGGAGGGCATATCCCTACTCTAGAACATTAAGAAGTCTGAAACACTTAGCAATTATGCTGGTGTCTTTCAACTGGAAAACAGGCCCAAGCAAGCTTACCTCAGGAGCATCTGGCAGACTTTGCAGGATGTAACCCGAGTGAAGGTGTGCATCTTGAAGTCATGGAAATTGGAGTCTGCGTAGTCTGGCCTTATGTTTGATCTATTAAAAGAGGAAAAGTAACTTCCTATAGAAAGTTTCCCAACAAAGCTGCAGCCTAGTCATCTAAAGCTTAAATTTATCAAAATTACATTGAGTAGGGATCTGATTCAGGGAAATAAACTCTTGTTTGCTTTCATAGTTTATTTAATGTTACACTGTGTATCATTACAGCTTGTAAAATGAATTTTCTCAGCAAGAATACACTGTATATTCATCCAGTTAAAGATATTACATTACACATTATCATCAACAGATAATTTTCCATTTGTATCCCTTAAAAATTTTTGCTTCTTTCTTTTCCCCCTTGATTCGCTTCCTCTTATTCGAAATGCCTTCTAAGCCAAAAGTGTGCTATGCATTAAAATATGTACCCAATCTGGCTGCATGGGAGTCAGCAACAAGAAAGAATATAAGCAGGCTAACCCTTCTCAGAATTGTGTGCTCCCAGGGAACATTACACAATGGCCACATAGGTCAACCTGCATGAGACAAAACAAACCCTGCTGGGTATGCATGCTGTGTGACAGTTTCTTTCTCTAGCCATGTCGCTGAAGTGATATGATTGTTTTTTTGTTTTTTCCTTCTGGCCATGTCACTGAAATGAACTAGCTGAGAGGGTGGGAGAGAAGGGAAAGAACTGCTACATTTCCAGAGTTCATAACTAAATTGGTGTGTGGATTTTGTAATGGTCTGTTAAAATGAGTAATGTGGGCCTGGCAGGTAGCGTGGTGGTTGAGGTGCTAGACTCCCACATGGCTGACTGTGGTTCAAGTCCTGAACCTGGTAGCTTGCTTTTTCACTTTCCCTTTCTCTCTCTCTCTTTCTGGTCAAATTAAAAAATAATAATAACAAATAAAATAAATGAATCTTTAAAATTAGTAATTTAAAAGAAAGGTTTGAAATAAAGCATCAGTAGGATCATTAGAAATGTCTTCCTTAAACAATTCACTTTTCTTGAAGTCCAAATAAAAAGTTAACAGAGTTTGATCATTTACATTTTGTATCTATATTATACACATGTACAACAAGAAATTAATATATATAGCATGAACAAAGTAATTTCATTGTGTGTTTGCTTGCTGCCACATATGGTGGCAACCAGGGGTGATTCATTACCTTATCTGACCTTTATACAAATCTTACCTGCCTAGCAGTAATAATATCACTAGTTTACAGACAAGAAACTGAGGTTTCCTGTAAAGTAAACTTAACTTTAAAGCAGAATCAGGATCTCTAACCCAGGTCTATGCTCTTAGCCATCGATAGCTATAGTGTGAAAAGGAAATTAACAATACTCATTAAGGGACCAGCAGTTGGCGTAATGGCTGTATCGCTGGACTCCCATGTAGTCCGACTGTGATTTGAGTTCTGGTGGCTTAAACTCACACCAGGCGCGTGTGCATGCATGCCCAGATGCAGAGAGGAGAATGGAGGAGAAGGAATTGTGGCATGGCCATCTACCCTGGGGGGGGGGGGGCGTGATTTCTCACTTTCTGTCTCTCTATCTCTCTCTGTCTTTCTGGCAAGTGCATGTGCCCCATAGCAAAGACCTCTCCAAAACATAATAATAATAATAAAAATACTCATTAAATAATTAGATGTTTCTGTTCGGTAGGTATGTAAAACAAAGAAAAGAAAGAAAGCTAAATTAGCCATCTCTGGATTTTTTGATGTTATTCCTGTTTTAGCCATGTCTCTGAAGAAAGCAAGAAAATTAGAATAGGGTAAGTTTAGAACAGACACAAATCAGAGGTACATCAGAAAGCTGAGAGGCTGCACTCCAAGATATTACGCGCGATTTGAGAGACTGTAGGCAAAGTTTGAGATCCTGATGAGCTAGGATTTCCCTTCTATAGAACACAGCGACTCTCCACCACACAGAGCCTCAGTGTAATGAAGCATTACACAGGCGGGCGGCCAGGCATCAATCTCTGAAGTACCAGTAGAAGCCTTATGAAAAAACATTCACAAAAGCAATTGGAGTAGCAGGCAGTGATGCAGAAGTGTCAGAGAGGTCAGCCTTCCAATCCATCTGCTGAATATGAGCGTGCTAAAAATGAAATCAAATATTAGTGCCATCTGGGATTTCTCTGCTCTGTGCTTCTGGTGACCTCACTTTTTAGGAAAATGTTCTACTGCATGCTTAAAAGTATGGTCATTTCCATAGAGGCATTACTGTGTCGCTGATTAAAAATTACAGAGATCTTCTTCAAGAAAAGAAGAGTAGAAAAAAATATAAGGATCTAAAAACAAAACTCTCTTCACATTGGTCAGAAAACATTTGATTCTCAGGTGCATAAAGCCATGCGCTGAAAAAAAAAAACATCAAAATCCATTTCCTTCGCCAGGAAAGGCTGTTGTTTATTTTTACCTGAATACTAAGGTGAAGCAGTCATAGATGAATTGTAAAATAACAATTTTGGTCTTGGGAACCTGAAGAATTCATCAGCCTAAAGTTTTTAAATAAAAAGAGGTCTCTTTCAGGCAGCAACTCATGTAAATAGGTCCCAAACAGGTAAGAATGTAATGAATCTCAGAAGTCGGCCTTATACAAAGGTGGGAAGCCTTTGTCTGAGGTCAAGCCAAACTGTACATAAATAGCTACCTCTTTATCCCCGAGTTGTGTTTGGACGACTAGCATTCAAAACCTTCACCAACTAACCAGTAATAGAACAAATTTTCAGAAGACACAAAGCTGAAAACAGCATCACAAGTACACAAAGAGGACTTTAAAAAATCTTATGACAAACAGTTCTGAAAATATTAACAGTGCCTTAAGGAAAAGGAATGAGACCTGAAGTGGGTTGAATGATAAGGTGGAACTGAGAACTTTTTTTGAACTCTAACCGCATATTATTTTAAAAATCTAGAATCAAACACCAAAGAATAAAAGTTAACTCTATGACCCTGAAACTGCTACTGTGGCACTACTGAATATGAAAGCAATGTTAAGGACAGAATCTGAAATTAGACTACCTAGACTTAAATCCTAACTTGCAAGTCAGTAGCAGTGAGACTTTAGGGAGTTGGTAACGCACAAATCAGAAATGCTAATAAAACCAAACTCATAAAGTGAAGTAATGCCCGTAAAGCGCTTAGAACAGTGCCTGATCCAGAGCTGATATTCAAGCAGTGTTAGCTATGAGTTATGAAGAGATGATTTCAAATCCACATAATAATGGTCAGATCAGGATAGTGCTTTATAAATGTGCTAAACAAAGCCCCCAGAGTATTCCAGTTTTCCTGAGAAATTTCCCTCAGAAAGGCAACTATATATGCCCAAATATAACCTTCTAAGTGCAATACAAATACGGATACTCAGGAGAGGACATATATGAAAAAGCCCAAGGAATTAGGTGAAATCCTACCAAATGCCAACTGAAAAGAGAGATATCAAAGCACATGGCTTGGGGACCAGCAGATGGCATAATGGCTACTATGTTGACGGACTCCCATGTAGTCAACCACCGTTCAAGTCCCGGACCCAGTTGCCTTAAACTCACACTGGGTGCGTGTGCATGCGTACCCAAGATCCTGAGAGGAGAATGGGGGGAGAAAGGATTATGGTGTGGACATCCCCACTGGGGGATAATTTCTCACTTTCTGTCTCTCTGTCTCTCTCTGTCTTTCTAGCAAGTGCACATACACGTCCCCTAAAGCAAAAACCTCACCAAAAAAAAAAAAAAAAACGTGGCTTCTAGCCTATGGGGACGCAGCAATCAAACACAGTAAATGGGCTGGATGGGAAGGATTGGGGATGTAGATTGGAGCAGATGAAGGCAAAGAAATATCGGGATTGTAAATTGTGAAAAACACAGGACACAAAGTGGTCCAAAACAGCATTTATTGCATACTTCTAGTGCACCAGATTGCTAGACTCTTCATATATTTTTCACATTCACTTCTCACTCAACATCTACAAGGCAGAATCATTCATTCATTTCATAAATATGTACTACCTACCAAACACACAGGTTCTAACAGGAATAGAAAGAAGGATCCCTTAGCTGGAGCCCAGCGAGTAAAGAAGCGATTAAGAGATGAGGAAAAAAGAGGTCAGTGTGGGCCAAGCCAAGAGGAAAAAGAGAAGAGACTTTATACAAGGATTGTTATCACAGGCAAGTCACAATAATAATAATAATAATAAGTTTTTAAAATCTCTATGCCTGGGACAAGAGATGGCATAATGGTTACATCGCTGGATTCCCACATCATCAGCAACAGGTCAAGTCCTGGACCCGGTGGCTTAAACTCACACTGGGTACATTTGCATGTGTGCCAAAAACCCTGAGAGGAGACTGGAAGTGAAGGGATTGTGATGTGGCCATTCCCCCTGGGAGGGGGGTGATTTCTCACTTTCTGTCACTCTGTCTCATTTTTGTTATAGGGTGCATGTACTCATAACTGCTGGTCCCAGGCCCATTATTAATTATACTAATCAGGAAGTCAAAAATTCATTAAAGCAAGAATGTTGGTACTCAGGGCTCCTTATAACTTCCCACATTCTCCACAGCTTGTCTCTTCTTTCCTGGTTCCAGAGCAGGCTCCCAGCCCAGGACCCCACACTGGGCCTCTTCTCCATTACCCAGACCTGCAGCCTCACTGCTCCTCAGGCATCTCAAAAGCAGCACATACAGAACTTAACCTCCAGGCCTTTCCATATGTATCTGATTCATTCACTCTTTCTTCCATCCTAGAAACTTAAGTCAGTAAATTCTTCCCTCTGCCTCATTCCCTTTACATATTCATCTTCCTTTACGTTTTGATTTCTCCTTTCCTGAAACTATGACCAATTTCTGACAATACAATCCCTAAAATACCAACTCAAAAACTCTGGTTACACACACACACACACACACACACACACACACTCTGATGCTATTTCTCTAGAGAATACTAATAACAGTTACCAGAGTTGGGGATAGGAGCAATATTTAAATTCAAATATGTTGGTCTCTACCACACTTTACTTGACACCTGTCCAGTTAAATAAACTTCCT